ATTTCTATAACAGTACTTGGTATTATTTTTTACCCAATTATTATCGATGAAACCATCGAGTTAGGTATTGCAAATTACTTTTAGGGCTACATTCTTACAGTAGTCATGGATGATGGCCATATCATATTGACCACTTATTAAAAGGACTGATTAGAGGAATTAACTTCCAGTCATGAACAAAATGAAAATGTGATCCTTATTTTTTTTTCTCACTCTTCTGAGCTTTATATCTACATCTGTCACCCTTCATAATATTATCATATTCATTATAAAGCCATTACAATTCACTTACACATATGTCGAAGTGTAAGCTCTCGATTTTTCCTCTTGACTAACATGTTGACTCTCGAATTGGAATACTCGATAAACCTGGGAATTTGACTTCTTTCTATTATCTTTCTATTTTACTACGAAAGAGATAACTTAAGCCACAAAATCCGGACGTGGGTTCTCTTATACTCCTTAAAATGCCACAATGAGTTTCAAAAGTCGAGAAATGGAAATGAGTTTTATTCCAATGGATGAGATATGTCAAGACATCGAATGGAGTACCATTTTGAGAAAAATTGAAAAAAATTGAAAAATTAAATTAGAAAAATTGAACAAAATTGAAATAAAACTCACTTACGAATGGTGTCCAACAAGTGCCACGTTAGAAAAATTGAAAAAAATGTAAATTAAATTAGAAAAAGCTATAAAAAATAAAAATAAAAAAAGGAAAGAAAACCAAGGACCAGCAGCTGTGGCGGTGGCCAAGCCCTCACCGGTGGCCGCCGCCACAGTCGCTGAGAAGGACCGGCGGAGGTCGCCTGGGCCTTCCAGAAGCCCGGCGACCCTCGCCGGCCCCGGGCGAGTCCCCAGTGAGGGCTTGCAACCCCCGATCTGGGGGAGGGTGCGATCCTTGCTGCAAATCTGAGCGAGGGCCGTGCCCTCCCCCAGATCGAAGGCTATTGGCCCTCGCTGGGGACTCGTCCGGGGCCAGCAAGGGTCGCCGGGCTTCGGGAAGGCCCAGATGGCCTCCGCCGGCCCTTCCCGGTGGCTATGGCGGCTGTGGTGGCGGTCGGCGGCCGCCAGCGAGGGCTTGGGCATCGCCACAGCTGCTGGTTGATTTTTTTATAGCTTTTTTCTAATTTAATTTTTATTTTTATTTTGCTGACGTGGCGCTTGTTAGATGCCACATCATTGCCACGTGTCTTAAGAAAGTAATAAAATATTACACGTCAGCGTTTTCCGTTAGTAAATTTAACGGTATTAAGTTTAGGACTCGATTAAACTAATTTGACAAGTTTTAAGACTCGATTGCACTTTTTACAAGTTTTAGGACTCAAATGCATTTTTATGACAAGTTTTAGGATTTGTAATGCACTTGTCCCTAAAATATAATTAAAACTATTCAGAACAGTCTGAATTGGCATTGAGATTTCCATTCTAGCCATGATAGGCACTTTACTACTATAGAATCAGCAGAATCTAGTATACTAAGAGCAGATATGGAAAAAATAACACCAAAAACGAACTCAAGACGTCGGAATACCTCAAGAACCGGTCGGAGAACACCGAAAACCTGTTAGGAAATGGTTGAATCGGCTAGAAAAGTGACAAAACCGGTTTGGTCTGAATCGGTCAACGGTCAGTCAACGCCGGTCAACGATCGATCAAACGGATGACGTTGCGGGGACGTGGCAAATGACGTGGCAAATGACGTGTCGGTTGACGTGGCAAAGTGACGTCAGCAACTCCGGACCCGTTGGCGCGTGCAGCTGGGGGAGGCGCGTGGATCTCACGGGTAGAACTTTGAGCGGCGCGTGAGGGCGCTTCTGGTGGAGGAATGGGGCGAAACTTGACTGGCTGACTCGACTGTGGGCGGCGAGTGGTGGGTTGGTGTTGGTTTTTGGAAAAACACGGCGGAGGATGTCCAAATCACCACTGCACAGCGGTGGGCTACCCGGGTCCGGGGCGCGCTGGCGCGTGGCGGTGCGTGTAGCGGCGTCAGGCGACTGTTGGTGTTGAAATTTTAGGACGTGGGTCGTCTAAGGGCGGCGAGTCTACTGGTGGTCTCGGTTTTCCGAAATGACTAGCGGAAGTATGCCAAGCAGTGACGAAAAGCTTCGGTCTTGTCGGAGAACCGAGGCGGCGCGGCCGGTGCGGCTGGCGTCGTGGTGGCCACAGTGTGGCAGACTCGATGGGCGCTCCTTAGGTAATAATAGCTCTGATACCAAGTTGAGATAAGTGAATTTATATATTTTACCTTGCTTGAATGAGAACTACAAGTCCCTTTATACAGGGCAAAAATGAATAGTAAACCCTATGAACAGTAAACCCTAAATTATATCTAACAGTTTCAAACAAGACTGTTGAAAATTTCGAAGAAGTATGACAAGAAGACAGAAGCTCTCATTATCTTGCCCTACCTCCAAAAAGTCTTGCAAGAGCCATTTCTTCACCATCGATTTGCTTTACAAACTCGGGAAAGAGTTTACACAGTTTCTTGGATCTACATCCATAAAGGTTTTACGACTTTCTCAGATGTTATGGAGTTGACAAATTGTAGCAAACTCAGGATCCTGCATCACATGTCAACTCATACACAAATGAGCAGCCTAGCGATAATCGTCATTTTGTTCTTGGTACAAACTTGTGTTTCCTCGGGAGCAATTCCAAATAACCAATCTCTGATATTGAACGCGGCCTCTACACTTTCAAGTGAAAAGGGAATTACACTTTCAGTCTCAGCTATGGACCCATCGAATTTGATTAGATCATGAACGACCCCTTTCGACGGCAACTCTAGTGGTGATGAGTGAGCAAACACACGAGAGAGAGGGAGAGGGAGGACGTAGAAGCAACATTATTAGAGTTATTCACTGCGGGTGTGCGAAGCCAAATCAACCAGAAAGCAAGGGAGGCCAGCAACATCGGAGACAGGTAAGTTTGATTCTCCGGAGTGCCATTAGAGATGGGCAGCAGCTACGATGCCGATTAGTTGGGATCGAAGAGGAGAGGGAGAGAGCTCGCGAGTTGCGATCAGTGAAATCGTAGAAGTAAAGAGAGAAGCAAAGATGGAAGAAGGATCGCGACGTGTTTTCTTAACTTTACTATTATGATCAAGTGGATTGAAAGCAGATTTATAATAGATCCACTAAAATCCATCTATTTTTGCTTTTCTATTTGGAACCCGTTATAACCTAAATTTAAAATTTGAGGCGACCATACATAACCTCCCTTCAATAAATTTGGGCCAAAATACGGGTTTGTGACCCCATTTTGATAGCCCTAGATAGAACCCACTACTCGAGGAGATTATGGGCTGGATTGCAAAACATATTTGGGCCAATAACTTTGGACCGGACATAAGCAGAGACCCACGTTCCTGAAACAACTGAACCTCATGCTCGGTCCAACTACCTGATATTCAAAAGTTCAAGGTCAACAGCCTGCTAAATAGCAACTAGATTTGCCATCTCCACAACAAATTCCCAACTAAATGTTGAGGGGACACTTATTAGATGTTAAAATCTCTCCTCTCTTGCAATCTTTCAAAGCAAAAATAGACTGCTAATCAAAACTCTTTTAGACGCTCTCTTCTCGTATTAATGCTTATCTTTTAACACTTTTTCCTGTTGAATGTCAAATTTTTCGATCTTCCATCCTAAATCTAAGTGATTCGGTTGTCCTCTCACTTAGGGAAAATTGATGGTTGACCCCAATATCTGCCTTTGCAAAGTGTTCCTAACGCCTCCCATGATTGGGTGTAGTTGGTTGGTCCACATCTTTCAAGCATTTGCTGGCCAAGGTATTAAAGTCGGATTTCTATAATCAACTTTGCCGGCCCCATAAATTTGCTAGAACAACCGGCAACGTAAAACCCTTATTCACAACCTTTCGGCCTTGACCCCCCATTCCTCTGATTTCCTACCATTTCCTCAATTTCAGCCTCATTAAAAGAGAGCTCCTACTAACTAAACTATTCGCTTCCGTGTTAAGCAAGATCGAAAGCGACTCTCTCGCCACTGATTTTGTCATGCAAAAAGCCCGCTCTTGCGAATCGAAACCATTGCAATAGAAGTCGCACGGGATCAAAAAGGAGGGACAAGAAATGGAACCCGAGTAGAGAGTCTAGGACTCAATCGAGATGCGGTCTAAGCAGGAAATAATCACCGGCTCGCAGAAAATTTGAATTCAATTGTGAGAAGCATATAAATCCCTCTAAGACCAAAGTTTGGAGGAGAAAGTTAGCAAACATTGGATTCAAGATCCAAATGATTGCTAATCTCATCGTCCAAAAGAGTGCCTCGTTGGATGGATAGGAATTACGAGCACAGCCCTTTTGGACTGGGGACGCCAGCTTTCTCCGTAGTTCTTTTCTGGAATCGAGCTCTCACGTACACTTCGCAGAACTGGACAAGATACTAGACAAACACCCGACTGGCTCGTCGACTTTGCCAAGTTTGACGTGAATTATTTGCATGTGGCCCCCAAAAAGAAAAGTCTGGGTCGACCAAAGTGGACCCATTTGCATATTCTCTATTCGTCCCTACGCAAAATTGATGGAAAACCTTTTTAAAATGTTTAGATTTTTGTCTACGAAAATCAAAGAAGAGAAAACAAAGATATTGCAAGAAGGGTTTGCTGTCAATTCATGGGAAGAAAACCCCCCTTTTGGATTCAAATGTCAGCCTGATCCGTGCAAGAAACATTTTTTGCATGAGCCCAAATTGTTGTTGCACTGATCGAGATTTTTCTTCTTTTTGGGCGACGGAATAGTGAATATCGTCCTCATAAAGAGCACTTGACACTGACGAAAGACCTCGCTTTCAATCACGGGTTTTGCATTCTTCAATCACAATACAAACTGCCAAAACCCTTTTCTTGTATCCCCATATCATGCAAATATATGACAAAAATATGCCGATGCATTTGAAACTTGCAAGTCCTGCTCACCCAAAATTGTTGGGAAGTCGTTCAACCGCAAGGATTGGGAAAATGTATTGACGAAAAGATTTTGCACCGAAAAATGCACTCCTGTAATTCATATTTCCCTTTTTCTTTTAATTTTCCTGCTCATGAGCAAATGTTTCTTCCTACAGATAACCTTTTTGTGTAATTTTCTTCCCCAGCATGAAAGGGGAGGACATAGATTGCCTTTTGAGTGGAAAGAGAAAAACATTGAATAAATAATTTGCTAATAATCTTGCCATCTCATGGTTGCCAAGGATCAATTAATCCTCGTGCCGTAGATGCCGAGCAGTAGCAATCGAGCAGGGAACAGGATCACGATGAGCAAATGCATGTGCTGCGACGCGACAAGCCTGCTGAACCGTTTCAGAGACTCCTTGCCCGTTTGCAAGATGCCCGAGAAGTTGAGCTGCTCGTGATCCACACTGATCGACCCGATTGACCTGCTCAAAGCTAGGTCGACATCGACTCTGCCGCGAGACAGGACGAGGGGCCACCAGAACTTGCGGCGCTGCTCTCTCTCGGCCTTCCTCAAGTGGCTCAGCTCTTGGCGGATCACAGACCTCACGGACTTCAAATAGGAATTCATGTCGTGGTCCCTTTGGATAGTACCCCCTGAACCATAAGCAGCGCGATCACTTAAAATCTCGAGTGGATGTGGCGTGTTCAAGAAAACCTTCTGCGCCGCTCGGAGTTGCTTCTCTGCTATGACGACATCCGATAACTCGCAGCTCAAAATGTAGAGACCACTACCTGAAGGGAGGAGATGGTGGTGTGGCGAGAACTTTTCGTCTGGCTGTAAAATCAAAAGCTCCCCCATTGGCGCATACAACAGTTTCTGCATAAAAATGGAGCAAATTCTTAGAAACCAGCAAGAACAGTTGTTAATGTACACAAAACTAATTAGATAGTGATTCAAACCTATTAATCACAGGAGAATAAGAATTGTAACCATTTTAATTTGTCTAGCGATGGATTTCCCGCATGTTAAATTACAAATAAGTAGAGGCTTTAAAAACAAAGCCTATAATTTTTCATACTACCGAGATTTCATGCTTCAGCAAGCAAGTATTTACCTCATTATTCAGACAAGGATGATGCCTGAACGACCCATTAACAGCCTTGAGAATCTCTGCAACGTGATTAGGATAATTGCAAGAGAAGGCTCGGGGTACAATGTCTCTGTGCATCATGACTGCCTGAACATGACTTCGAGGTAATCCAAGCTTTCGAAGAAGATGGTCGCCTCCACACGTGATGGACGGGGCACCGAATGTGATCACAGGAAGCAAGGAAGAAGCGGGCACTTCGCCCCGAATCAGCAGCATTAAATTTATGACTAATGACAAACTTCCTCCAAGAGAATGCCCAGTGAAACGGAAAGTAGCCCTCTCCCCACGGGATTTTAGGTGGTCACGAACTTCAGGCAACATCTGCTCATAGATCCCTTTGGCGGCCTCGTATATACCTCTGTGCACAAGCACATCAAGGCCCTGGAAAAAAAAAAAAAGGCAATAAACCACATGCAATCATTGTGAGTAAATATAACCACATTGGAAGATACAAAAAAGGATGCAGGAGATTTCTAGAGGTTACCTCAAACTGGATAGGCTCAAACAGTAGATTTGCTTGCCACGATGCCAGCGACTCAGAACCCTGCATATGAACGGTTTGAGTTCAGCCTTTTGAGCTACAAATCATCCATGATTTCACAGTGAACTTTATAATAGTCACAGGTAGACAAATCAAATTGTCCTGAAAAAAAATGAATATAGGCACGAGTGCATATAGAGAAAGCGAACCTGAATCACGAAGAGCCTCGTAGTGCCCTGATCTTCGTCGCATATGAACCACTCGCAAGGTGATGAGTGAGTGGACTTCAGATCATCTGCCACTGCTTGCTTCACTTCCTCTTTTGCAGCGACCACAGCAGTCACAGAGTCGGTAGTTGCCATGAGAGAAGCCATATCTGGGTTCATTGCGTCAACGCCGTCGCTTCTTTCACCATCCCCCCCAGGGGAATCATTACCAGATACTTCTGCTGATTTCGAGGAATTAAATGGAATAATGCTCTTAGCATGAGAGTGCAGATAAGAAGCTGCAGAAGCAGCGATTTGGTAAGCAGCGGATGCACTTAGTTGGTTCCCACTGATCTTCTGCTCCTGACCTTGAACATCATCTACCAACGGCACTGCTTCCTCTTGAATCTCCTCTAGCGTCTGATCCTTCTCGACTTTTGCTGCTGATTCCCTCTTCTCTATAGATGACGTTATTAAACGCAATCCGCGGTTTTTTAGGAGGTTTCCCAACTAAAAGAAGCAAAGAGCGAATATTAGCATCTTCCGTAAGTTAGACTCGAAATTCCTTGATCAAACAGGGCAACGCATTCGTTGATTCACCTTTTTCATTGGAGATATGTACAAACAGCAGGAGTACAATATAATGTGTATTGAGGTTTATTTTAATTAATGGGTTTTTCATGCATGAAAAGTGCAGTTAAATAGATGCATATTTCCTGTGCAGGGAAGACACCGTTATACTAAACCATGACGGATGGCCTTTTAGAATCCTCAAAAAAGCTCTGCTTCGAGATTACGACTCCCGAGAGCATATACTTGTGAGCTATATTATCTTGGAATGAACAAAAGCCTTCCGGTGCAAGCTTTTTTAGGATTCTGATCGAACCAACTCGTGCACAGTTTTAAGATGCCAGCTATTGCCTATTGGCCATAATACATACGATCTCGAAAATTCTTCAAAGCCTTAAACTCTTCTTCGAAACCTACTGCTATCAGGATCTCAATTCCCATCCACTGTGTAATGTGTATTATTAGCCTGCCTGATCTTACAACGTATATGCCTAATTCTCTAGTAAATCCATGAAGATGATGACCTCTGGAATCTCAAACAATTAAACACAGAGGTACATTGAAGGGGCAGGATTGCAAAATCACCCATCTAATTAAATCAATCATTGCTAGCAAAACTCAGATCAGACTCCTCAGGACTCGGGAGATCAAGAAAAAAATCATTACGAAAATCCTGAGAAAATCTTAAATTGCTTACCATCAAGAATCCAGGGAAAAAAGGCAAAGAAAGGAGTTGTACCTTGATTTTGGGTATGGCATAAGCCAAGTTCCCCAAATAAGACATTTGAGCACAGAGCTTGGCTTGACGCAGAGGCACCTTCCTCAGCAACCTAGAAAACGAATCCCTATCAAAGTCTATTTCTTTTTCATCATGATCACCAATCCTACATGCATCGCACTCCTCTTCGTCTTCGTCTTCAACATCAACACCATCTTCTTTCCCTTCAACCACCACGTCACGAGACCCCCTCTCTCCTTCTTCTTCGGCTCCGCCACCATCATTGGCCATTCCCTCGTCCTCAATCACCTTCCCCTGCTGCTCTCCCTCCTCCTCCTCCTTCCACAGGGACCTGACATGCAGTATCTTCAAGACCCAGTTCCCACTTTGCCCCTCGGGACCGGCCCCGCCCGCCCCCTCGGCCGCTCGCTCCCCGCCGTCGGCAAGAACGGCGTCGTCGAGGGCGATCCCATTGTGCTTCTTCTTGGCTCCCCCGCCGCCGCCCCCGAACCACAGGGACTTCAGAGGGTACCCGAAAGAGAACCTCGAAGACGAAGACGAAGACGAAGAAGAAGCCGCCGCCGACGATGATTTGTCGAGGGGGGACCGCCCCAAGGTGCTCACCTGTGCCGGGCTCGGCCGGGCGTCGAGCGACCCGGCGACCGAGATCGAAGGAGGGATCGCGTGGATCCCTGTCTTCAGGCACAGAGCATCCATTTTTTTGGCCCTCGTCGTTTCGCGGGTTTACGTTGCCGTGCTCTGGTTTTTCTCTCGTCTCGCGTGCACCCAGAAATTCAAACAGGGCTTTAATAATGGACGGTCCCCGACTTCCTGGCGAGAGAATGCGAGGCCCGTGGCGGCCTCCCCCCTGAAGGTGCTGACGTGCGAGCAATCTCCGGAAAAAAACTTACGGGCCTTCTCTTCCTCCCTTCTTCTCCTTCCTAAATTTGCTCGTTGTTGTTCAACAATGCGGAAAATCAACTCTTTGTCACAGAAGAGAGGGAGAGAGAGAGAGAGGGAGGGAAGGAGGAGGAAGGAAGAGAGAGAAAAGTCTGGAATGCGTTTTTGTACGCGAACGGGTGACCAACCGTGACGCCCCGTTTTTGTAACGAGATCTTTTCCCCCCCCCCCGCTTTCCCTTTTTGCTCTCTCTCCCTCTCTCTCTCTCTCTTTTCTTTCTTATATATCGCGCATTTCATATTAGAGATTACTGGTTTTTATCTCCTCTGTAATTTATGGAGCAACCAAATGGGAAGAAAAATCGCGTCGTTAGCTCTTCTCTTCGTGCTTAAGTAAATCTCCCGAAGTAGAAGAAGGAGGAGAAGAAGAATCGCGTTGTTATATCAGGGCCTCTTGCTAAATTAAAGGGACAAAACCGTGCCTGAGGAACGACGGAGATGCCCGCCATTTTAAGCCATTAGATTTGATTGAAAAGAAATCCTTCTCGTGCTGTGATGGATCTGAGCGTGCGGAAGTCTCGCATTCGCGGCGCATTGAAAAGGCCCTTTTTTTTTCACGTCGATGGGTGTCGGTAAATCGTCGAGCGTCCTTAATAAAGGGGAATTTTAAAGTCGCGCGGCCGTAATTAGTAGGGGTCTTTTTTTCTCATCAAAAAAAGAGTGAAGACCCTTCTGGTAAATAAAATATGATTATGTTATTAATTCCACCTTTCGGTCGTTAGCATTTTGTTTTTTTTTTCTGGAACGCTGTGTTTCTCTTTCTTGACGCTTTCGTCTGCCGGAGGAGCCGTGCGTCGAGAATTTTTTTTTTCAAAAGGAAATAATAATAAAATAATAACTAGCTGGAGAATCCCGGAAACGACGGCGTGTGCGACCCGCGTTGGTGTGCCAGCAGCAACGGGAAATAGGCTAATAGCTTTGCTCGGAACGGCGCCGTTTCCCGGGGGGCGGGGGGGGGGGGCGGGCGTGCGGGCCCGTGTGTACAGGTGGCTTCTGCTTTCGTACGAAAGCGCGTGTGGGGCGCGCACCGACGGCCGAGATTTAGAATTCAAAAGTTTTTCAGGGGGGGAAATGGATTGGATGGCGGTCGCCACGCGGCGGCCACGTCAGCCGGTGCAGAAGAACGAGGAAGGCCTTTCGATGACGTGTCACCCCGGTCCGGGGCTCTCCGTTTCAATCTCTACCCTCTTTTTGGTTTGTCGATATACGTTTCCCCGAGCCAATCCTTCTCGTGACAATACGAGACAAATTCCCATTTATCTTAAAGCGGCAAAGTTTCTGAAGGAATTGCAATACTAACACACGTGGAGATACTTATCGATACGAGAGGAACTTTACATGGCTCGGAATGCGATTGGTCGGTTTCGTCACTGCATTCGTGTCGATGGACACGTGAAGAATGCCGTTTGCGTTGTCTCGCTCTCTAATTTCTTCCCCCTTTTTGCGTTGGACTTTTGAACGCCCCCGGTTTTTGCCGATCGAGCTTTTCTTTTCTTTCGTGTGTCGATCGCTGATACCGCTTTCCTGAAGACAATCGATTCGTTTCTTCGTATGCAACATGCCACGGCGGCCCCAAGCTACCACCGACTCCGTCTGGACAACAATTGCAAAAGGGTCTCGTGTGGAATCTTTCATAAGTATCAAACTCAGAGTTGATGTTATGAACCTCTTTCCATCAAGACGGACTTGTGATGTGCCTTCAATGATGGCCATAGCGCAATGTCCAACCCCTTATATCACCAACATAGCATGATCTTTGCGCCACACAAGCTAAACTCAATTCTTGCGCTATCAAATTTTGGCCATTCCAGAAAATTCACCCAAATTGCATATCGATCTGTCACGAATTACGCGATAATAAACTCTCCTTTGTCCACAAGTACGACGGTTTTTTTTTGCCAAAAGACCAATCGTAAGACTAACATACAATGTCTCCCAAATCTAGTTTTTTATCCCTAATCATCTACTCACAATATGGAGATTAAACGTAGTTCAAGTCAGACACAGCATAACAATCCTCTTCGTTTCACGTAATTACATCCCATGCTACATCTTTTCGTCTTAACATCTTTAATTTTCGTACTGTGATACAACAGGAAAAAGAGGCACCCTAGATTTTCCTACTACTTGTGTGAGCACTGTTTCTATCTCTCATCATAGATCTATCGTTAGAATTCAACTTGAATTACATGTTCGGTGAGATTTGACATATGATACTCTCATGGTGGGTAATACATAGGAGGGACCATCGCCCTCTCATACTAGTTTGTTTCTAAAGACAGATGGATTTTTGCATTTTTGACTCGAAGATCACATAAATTGGTAATGCAATTTATACTCTTTGCAATTAATTGGACCTCTAAACGTGACAAAAGAGGCGGTCTTAGTGAATAACGGGTCATTCATTCTTACTCTTTCAAATGTCAGATTCAAATCTAAAGATAGATCATATAAGAGCTCTCTACGTCTTTCTAGCGTTACGTTTTGGGTTGTCTTTTCGAGTTTAATTTATCCCCCCTGATCAAGACTGATTCCCTAACTCGAGTTAGGAATTCGACTTAAGCACTTGCACTTGCTCATCGAGACGGAGATAGAGAGAGAAAAAGAGTACATGCTTAAAGCATGACGCGAGTAGGAAGACCCGTGTAAGTGATCAAGTCCTTTCCAATAGCGCGATTAACATGACTTTCGTCGATAAACGATCACAAAAGTCATTATAGCGCTATCTACATTTTAGGCTACATTTGGCAATCGCTTTGCCGAAAGTTTTTTAGCCTCTAGAGACCCTTGGCCAAATCTAAGACATTTGGCAAATTTTTTTGGAGAGTTTTGGAGAAATTCATTGCATTTCCAAAGTCTTCTAAAGTCTCTTATCCCAAGGCAGGTTCGTAGGAGCTTTGGGGTTAGCATTTATAGAATGCTAATACATCTTTTTTACTTTCAATATTGCTCTCGCTAAATTTTCGAAATTCTGGAAATACCCTCTCTATTTTCAATCTTATGCGATGTTGTTAGCGAGGCCATATTAGATCACCAGCAAGCCAGATCTAGCATCACCGACCCATTGCCACTCGCGAGACCTCAGGCGATGATTGACAATGCCGAATTTGGCTCGTCGGTGTCCGACGAAGGGTTTGAGTTTGGTTTATTTTTTCAAATAGCGAAAGTTCTTTAAACTAAAGTTACTTGCTATTGCACTTTCAAATCACACTTTACCAAACACTTTTGCATTTTGAAGGACCCCTTTAACCTAAAGTCCTTTATATTTCTCCAAAGGCTTTCCCCAAAAACCCAACCAAACGCAATCTAAGACTAAATTCTTGCACTGGCCGGGATTTTATTGCGAAAGTTGTGAAGCGGACCCACATAGAGGCCTTTGGCAATACGGTTTGTAGTTAGAGGCTTTAAAAATATTTGGCAAAAAGGGTGTGTCCACATTAAATTAAGTGGAAAATGAATCCATAGGAGAATGAATAGCCTCACGTCACCCATTTTCTATAGTTATAGGTAGGAAATGAAGATTAAGACAGCTTATGATGTTGAATTCAAGGTCTCCCAAGTTGGTGGAGGTTGTGTGGGGGGAACATGGGATTTTTTTTGTTCCCCGAAGCACACGTCGACTCAGATTGACAATGGAGAGCTGCACCAGAAGCATGAGATGATGAACGGGCCTTCGCTTGGCCCGCTCAAGCTCGGTCGGTCCAAAGTGCACGGCAGGAGAGCTTAGGACAATGTCCCTTCTCTTTCTTGGACCCGACCCTTCCAACTAGGGTTTCCACATTGATGCTGGCAAGAAGGCCCAGTGTGTTCCAACAAGGAGAGCGCGAGCATGAGTGACCGTGCAGATTATGAGATATCGGAGCCTGCATGTAGGCTTCTTGTCTAGTTATTGTATTCTTTATGGATGCAACAGAGATGCTATATATTGTCTCTAGCTGTGACTAGCAATATGAACCCTAAGAGTGCAAGCAGAAGTGATCATGCAAGTCCTTCGATATCGGAGTCTGTTGTAGGTTTTTGTCTAGTTATTGTATTCTTTCTGGGTGCAACAGAGATGCTATATTGTCTCTAGTTGTGACGAGCAATATAAAACCCTAAGAGTGCGAGCAGAAGTGATAATGCAAGTTCTTTGATATTGGAGTATGCTTGTCGGTTCATGTGTAGTTATTGTATTATTTCTGGATGCAGCAAAGATGTTGTATCGTCTCTAGTTTGATCCTAAGAGCTTGTGTTTTAGTCGCTCTGAGTACAGAGTATGCTTTATTACTCTTACTCGAGCTTATTTTGGTTGGTGGGTCTACTGACCTGAACTTAAGACTTCTTCATTTTGTTGAATATGAAGTTAGCTACAGCCATTTAGACACCTTATCTGCTCTTTACCCGCCTCGATACGACATGCTTTTTTGTATACCGTCATTATATCTTTTGAACCCACTAACTTGACGTCTTAGTTTCGACTCTTGCAAAAAATGAGCAATCTACCACAATAATAAGTAGACCGAGATACATAAGTATATAAATTATTGATTTCATTTCTAGAATACAATGGTTAGACTTTGTTAGTAGATTAGGGATAAAACACTAGATTTTGGGAGACATTGTGTGTTAGTCTTATGATTGGTCTGTTGGCAAAAAAACCGTCGTAATTGTGGACAAAAGAGAGTTTATCGGGTAATTCGTGACAGATAGATATGCAATTTGGGCGATTTTTCTGCAATGGCCAAAATTCGATGGTGCAAGAATTAAGTTTAGCTTGTGTCGCGCAAAGATCATGTTTTAGTCGCTCTCAGTACACATTCCTTATTCCCACGTCTTGCGGCAATCATTAACGCGGTCTCTCCACATTCTGTCCGCGAACTCAGATTGCGGCCAGCAGAGATCAAGCATTGAAGAACTTTCGGATACCCGAGGCGCGCTGCTGAATGAATGGGTCGTATTCCAGTTTTAGGACTGGTTTCCAAGGGACATTCTGGATCCACACCATACTTCAGCAGCACATCTAATGCTTTGCTGTTGTTGCATAGGATTGCACGGTGGACAAGAGTTCTTCCACAATGAGAAGAAGAGGGGAGCCGTTGGAGGAGCAAGCGCAAGATGGCACCACTGCATTCAAAGTACTCCACAGTGCACCAGGCGACGTAATATGGCTCAGCTAGGCCTGC